GCTTTGCTCCGAGTATCGTAGGCGATGGCCACGAAAGCAATTGCTGCAGGTATGGCATACGTGGCCACAATCGGCAGCACCGATCCGGCATGACTGAAAAGATACGGCAGCGAGAAGCCGACTGCAACCAAGCCAAGAAGGACCAGGAGATCTCCACCAGAATACCTTGGGCACATGCTCCAAACACGGACGAATGAGACTCTGATGCGGGCTCAGCTATGCAACTTCAGGGGGCATTTTGCCCAGTGCGCCCAGCAGTTTTGGCTCCGGCGGTGTCGGGGCCACTGTGGGGGTATACTGCATAGTGAAAGTCTGCCCAGGCTTCATTCCAGCAGGAATCTTGGCCTGTACCTCGGATTTCCAGGACAGATTAGGCATGCAACCTCACGGTCTGCAGCTGCGTCTAACTTGCTGCTAAATGTCAATCGTGCCGTCTGGACTCTGGGCTTGTAATTCCTGACCTGGCTTCATTCCTGGAGGGACTATCACGTTGAGACTCGTCATGGCTTTCGGCGCCATGGCGACTTCGCTTTCCACGCACAACCAAGGTCCGTGTCAAGGGAATGTTGCTGCTCCAATTTGACTAGACTCTAGGTGTGGACATGTTTTGTTGACAACCTGGGCTAACTCGCACACCTGCATTGGACCTGCATCGTGCACAACTTCTATCACCCCAACTGATGAAGTGACTGAAGAATGGTAAAGCTGCCAAACATGGGGCGCGAGTTGGGCACATCATAGACTAATACACACACACACACACACACACAATCACACACACCACGCCGCATGCGCACGGTCAAGACTCCGGCATGCTAAGGCAGGGCGAGCTCATTTTCCTTTCTTCAGGCAGCACATCACTCCCGTGCTGCTCCCAAGCGACTGCACTCTGGCAGTTGCGCCCAACCCCGGACATAGTAACCCCTTTGACTTGTAAGGTCAAGTGCATGCTCACGAGCGGCTCCCATCTACGTGCTCAGGTGCTATGGCATGTGCAACTGTGACTGTGTCAGGCTGCGTGCAAGAATCTGAAGGACTCCTTGAAGCAACATGATTAAGAAAATGCTACTACATGACAGTCGAAGAGCAACTCTCAGAAAAGGCATGAATGATGGCCCCAGCTTTGCTGTCGTGCGCAATTCCCAGTACGTCGGTACTTTCCTGGCAAGATAACGCATGACTTCAAGCATTGGACTACTTCGGACTGCACATCTGCAAGCAGGCTTCAGCAAACAAGAAGCTACAGTCCTTCACGAGAAACCTTGCAGCTTGCCGGCGTATGCCTAAGACGCGGAACAAACTGCTTGCCCAGCAGGCAGTGATGGGTTTGGGGTGCAGTCGGAGTGTGACGAAGAGCACACCCGACCCAGCCGACCACATTCCTGGTGGACCACTTTCAGGCTGTTGGCAAGGTGCAAGTGCTTAATCCGAGCACGATGAACAGGCTTGCGTTTTTGGAGCTGCAAAACATACCGTTGTCATCCTTCGTACCTGGGACTTTTCTGACCACCGCTGTTTCATTCATGCTGTCTCGATGGTTCGGCGCACACATCCCTTCGTGTGGATAGGAGAGGGCAGATGGGGGCAGGGTGGGGGTGGTACTGGTTGTTGCATGGCAACTTGTGCTCTTGAAATATTCTCTCTTTCTATATATATATATATATATACATACATACATACATACATACATACATATTAACAAAACAGATGCGCACATACATCTAAAATGCGCGTGTACATAAACACACACAGATACAGGAACATACACAATTACATACACATAGACATATACCTTATTATATCCATTTCCATATCCATATCCATATACATATACATATACATATACATATGCATATACATATATATATATATATGCATCTGCATATACATAATATACAATATACATATACTCCATGTGCATATACATGTACGTATACACATGCACATACACCTACTCCTACACAAACATACGCATGCGCATACACACGCCCATACACATGCACATACAAACATATACACACACATACACACATTTTTGGCACTCGATGTCGACGTCGACAGCGTCAGGCGAGGTATCGGGTAGACAACAGAAACTGTAGACCACCAGGCACAACATACACACATACACACAGACACACATACACACGTACGCACATACACACATACCCACATAGTCACATACACACACGCACACACACACACATACGCACAGGAACACAGACACACAGACACACGCACATACATACATACATACATACATACATACATACATACTCACACATATATATATATATATATGTATGCGGCCGAGTATGCCCTGGACGTTCAACTACAGCCGGACCGAACAAAAACCCGAAGCCACGTCAGAATCATTGCATGATTTTGTGGGGCATGACCAAGCCTGTGTCACCATCGGACAATTGCAGAGCCTTCGCTACTTCACGCTCACGTCCCTCGAACATCATTGCTTGCATCTGTTGCAGTACAGTGTTCGTACGAGTCAAACTCCACCAGAGGCTCTGGCGCCGGCTGAGTTGCTGCCCCCTTTGTAACCGATGGCGTCTCCTGTCACGGAGCTATGTGTCTCCACCTTCCAAAAAATTCCAGTGTGCAGCTTCCAGTTCTCCTTCCGCTGCGCTCGAGTCACTTCGTGAAAGCCTCGGGATTAAAGATCATATCAGATCGCTACCACCGGCCCTTGTCATCGCAGGCGATCGCTGGCATGGTGCCGAGGTGGCCGCTCAAGCGCTGCGTCTCTCACATCGGAGCTGGCCCTGTCGCTGGTCTCCATAGCTCATGCCCAAGATACTCTGAGAACGAAGTTTGTCAATGCGAAGCTTTTCTTTTGCAAGGTGTCCTGGCGCAGTACCGAGGTCCAGTACCTGGCGATCGAAAGCTCCGTTACATCCACCAAGACGAAGGAAGAGCCCTGGCCCTGGCTGGCGGCCTTTCAGCACATCCTTACGCCGGCTGAGGAGCTTGTCAACCTGAGCCTGAGGGCGCGCACCAATGCAACGCAGCCTCTCGTCCCCCCTTTCGCTCCAGACATCAGAGATCGAAGCACTCAGTTGGGCGACATCCTCAATGATCGATCCAAGCCTGGGCTTCAAGGGCAGATCGGTAGTTCGGTTTCCCTCTACTAGTAGGACACACAAACTTCCCAAGATCCAAACAATCCGGACGGTGCCTCACCGGCCAAACGGATGAACTCTTCGCTTCGGTGTTCGAGCCCAAAACACCCGCCTCTGGCTTTGCCTCTTCCACCTTTTCTGTGCCTGGGCCTCGTCCTGACAGTCGCTGCGAGTCGCGCTTTGTCGCGGCTTTGAGATTCGCAAAACCGCCTTCCAAGTCGGGCATCGCAGGAACAGCGCCCCATGCGGGCCCGGGCTGCAGTCCTGGGACGCTTCCATCTTGCGTGCAAAGCTATGGAGAGCACCGAGCGGCACGTCCTGAGCAAAGCCCCAACTGCGCTGGCTCGGGGGCTGCAGGGGCCTCGCAGGACAATTCGGCGGTCGAGCTTTGGTGGTCTCAGGCCTGCTCTTGCCAAGGTGCATCTGCAGAGGGGCTGCTGGGGGTGAACCGCAGCCTTGAGCAGGACATTATGCTCTAACGGCTCGGACTTGCCAGATGAGGTCTCTCAGACAGACAGTGGACCAGCTCAACTGGGCAGGACATTCGGATGCGGCGATCACCGTGTCTTTGACCATGTCAATAATAAGCTTCGCCAGGTGGGCCTCTCAGCTGACACAGTTCGGCGTGCCGCCCTCTGGCCAAGCCATCCTGCGGTATCTTCAGGCACTGCCTCAGCTTGGAGTACCACTTTTCAGCTCACAGCCCTCAAGTCCTATATAAACCTGAAGCACTGCTCAGCTCACGCTAAGAGAACAACTTGATGGCCGCCTCCATGGCTCCGGCTGACGTCTGCCCCTGCCGTGCTTGGCCATTCAAAGTGCCGGCTGAAAGAAGGGAAGCTTTGCCTCGCAAGGACTCCCTCTTGGACGACCTTGACCTGGTTCCGGCACATGACCTGGACCTCCCGATTCGGGAACACGTGGTGGTAGGTGGTCATCAGGGATACTAGTGGTACGTGGCAGTAGTGGAGTGGATGCGGAATTGAACCGAACTGAGATGTGAAACCAGGCATCCCATTTGCCCGAAAGGAGGCGTGCTTTTTCCGTACCCGACTGTTATAGGCAGGGGGGTGCCCACAACATGCACAACATACAAAAATGAAGTCTGCAGTCTACACCTCTACAACCTACGATCACAGACCCCGAAACTCAGGTGACGCTCTCTACTTGCCGTGTCACCACACCTCTCCGGCTTCTGCACAGGGCTTGTGACAAAGACCTCTTCGCAAGCTGGGACGCTGCATGCACCGCTTCATGAGCGAGGTGCAACGGGCGCAGCAGTATGCGCCTTGCCCGCAGGTGAAGTCGTAGAAAGCTTTTGACCACCTGACGCCGCTAAAGCTACTGCAAGCCTCATGCGGATGGCCCTCGAAAACACGAAATAAAACGTTGCAAAGCGTGCCGAGGGTAATGCTGGCATCGGCTCTGCGATGGGACGGCCTGGCCGGCCAACACTCGAGTCATTCATACGAATCCTGCCCGTCTGTCTGTGCGTGTGCATCTGCGTCTGCGTCTGCGTCTGTGTTTGTGTCTGTGTGTGCATGTGTGTGTCTCTCACTGTCTGTCCGTCCGTCCGTCCGTCTGTCTGTCTGTCGGTTCTGTCGGTCTGTCTGTCTGCCTGTCTGTCTAAGCATGTGTCCAGGGGCGGGTGATGCTTCTTGTGCGAGTCGTCTTACCAAGTGAACCGGTGGACTCACAATTAGACCGCATCCCTTGCCTTGGGGAACGCGCTTCCGGGGATCGCCTGGACATCCAGCAAGGAGATCCCAGCTAGGACGATGCAGGCCACCGGCCCGGAGAACCCAAGACGATCCAAGAGGCCACAACCAACACTGCGAATCTTGAAAGACAAGTAAGCCAATCCACAAACATGATTGTTGCGAATGGCCGACATGGCTACCCGCAGGATGGCACAATGTCCTGGCTACACATGCCAGGTAACTCTGCCTTCAGTTCCGAAGAACTAGCTCATCCAGTATTATCCACTGCTTGTGAGGTGCACACTCGCCAACGCAAGAGTTTTGGCCTGGAGTGGGTGCCCTGTGTTGTCGGCCTTGACACAACGTCAGCTGGGCGGAAATGCTGAAAAGGCTTCGCAAGTTCCGCGCGTTGAACGCGACCTCTGCCTCAGAACACATGGAGTACAATACATACTGAGTCTCCACTCCATGCTGGACTGCCCAAGGCCGCCACACCACTGGCACTCCTTTGGAAGCTTGGCGGCTGACCTTCCGACTGGGACCCCAGTCTTCGGCTATGCTGCGATGTCACCAGTGTTCGCTGCCCTGCTTCCTGTTCAACCGTGGGGGTTTTATGCTAAGAGGCCCTGTGTGAGTGAGGTCTTGGTAGCTCTTTCTGGCCCACTCCTATCAGTAACAAATCATACTCCCGGATCTTAGTGGTTCTTTCTGGCCCACTCTTATCCGTAACAAACTGGCTCATCTGAATGGAAGGCGAAGTGGCAAGGATTTCACACACGTGCGCGCGCGAAGACGTGTCTGTCCTACACGTCAGACGCAGCGATGGCTCGGCCCTGGCTGGCTGCTCCTTTGGAGATGCCGGCAACTCAGTAACTACTCGGCACGGAAATGCTGCGGGCAGGCGTTCTCGCCACGGTAATGGTGAGAAATGACGCCTTGTATTCGACGTCTGCAGTGGCCGCAAAAAGAATTGCGGCACATACCACATCGAATGTGGTTAAGATTGCCTACACGGCCATTCCACTGTCCACAGGATGGGCAAGGGACGTCGCCCATGCGCCGTCTTGCTGCCACCGTTCCACGCCCGCCGGTATTAGGTGCTTGTATGCCATGGGCTTGCTGAAACTGCGCAAACAACTCACGTTGTTCGCCGAACTCGTCCCGGAGGCGCTGCAGCTCGTGGTCTACGAAACCGGGCTGCCTTTCCTGAGCTGCTATTCTTCGCACCTCTTCATCATCGAAGGTTGTACATTTCCCTGTCTTGAAATGGGCATAGGGGTCCTCGCTGTCCATTTGCGCACCGCAGCGATAGCAAAAGTGCGCACGGCACTGTGTACAGTGCATGTGATTACACCCAGCTGTGCGGTGTACACGCACTTTGCAAACAGGACAAGGCTGTGACTCGCGGGCGATTTCTCGCAATGTCCTCGGTTCACGAAGCACAGCTTGAGACAAACAGAGTCTCCTGGCCGGTCTCTCTCTCTCACCGTAAGTTCAAGAGAGTCTGCTCAGTTCCTGCCACTCATACGGATCAGATTTCAATAAAACGGCCGAATGAATAAACACTAACAGTTTTCCAAAAAAGGAAGTACAACAAACAGCAATATTCAGCGGGAGGCAGCAGCTCTTCCATCAGGCGCCGCTGGCGCCGCCGCTCCATCGCAGCATCAGCCCGTGTGCGAACCAAGCGGATGCTGACCGGCCTTCAAGGAGTCAAATTTCATACGACGAGTCGAGTGACCCTCTACTTCTACTCCGACGCTATCCCCTACTAGTAACACGTTGCGATCCCGCGTATGCCTCGGGGATTCCATCAAAACGGTTGATAAATTACATATGTTGTCAAACTTGGCATCCCACAAAGCTCGGCCAGTGATTTTGTCTGGGACACCGGTATGTACGGCGATAACCTTGTCGCCTTCCGCGATGTTCGGCTCGCAGTCCTCGGTGATGTGCCCAGCTGCATCGACAGGCAGCATGTCTTCACCTACGTCGATACAGACCAGATATCCCTTCTGCGCCTCACGCTTGAGCTTTCGCTTCTCTGCCACACTCTGGGCAGTTCCGAGCCGACGCATTGCCGCTTGTTGGGCCCGCTCCTCTGGCGCCAGACATGGCTCCGTCCCGTGGTACAAAGATAAGCACGTGGCGCAGAAGACATACTCGCAACGACCACATCTGGCCACAGGGGGGAGTGAAGCTGCTTGATCAGAATCAGATACCGGATCCGGCAGAACTGGCGTTTCCATGCCCATCTCTTCACAGCGCGGACAGAGGACCAAATTAGCCGTTGTCAGAGCTCGCCGAAGCTTCAGGGTCTGCCAGCGCTCATAGCCCGACGCATCCAAGACTTGCATCAAGGCACTGGGCGCGATTTCGGCTCGGCAGCCTGGTTCCGGACAAACCAAGTCAGCGATACTGCCTTCATTCACATGGATCTCTGCCATTGTTTTCACGCAAGTCTTGCAGAATGCATGGCTGCAACTGCCCAAATGCACGAAGTGAGAACCAGGATGCTCGCAGAAGCACACGTTACAGACGTGCTGCTGTTGACTCCAAATATCCAACCTTTTCCCCTTATCGTACATGAGCAAATCCAATAAAGTTTGGACAGGGTCCCAACAGTTGGACTCGGCCCGTGGATCAGAAGCTGACAATCCGTCAATAGCCTTCAATGTCAGAAAGACTTTGCTCTCCAATGCTCCCCGATTCTTGAAGATAAGCTCCAGCACTTCTTGTCGCAAGACATCAACCCATGTGTAGATGATCGCAGACCCCTTGGCTTGCTCCCATTGGTCATCCAAGCTTCTGCAGAACGACGATAGGCTGTCTAAGTCCATCCAAGAGCAAGACAAGCGAAAGTCAGGTGGTTCAGAAGACGGGTAGCCGGCCGGCAGCTTCAGCTGAAGCTGGACAGGTGGCAAGTGTCGTACCTCAACTTCCGCAAAGCCACTGACAGACCGGCTGAGCCGTGGCTTTGCCGTCTCGCCTGAGACTTGGCCTTTGGGGTCGGCCTCCGGAACCGGGACCGGTAAAGCCGGAGACTGCATCTTATAGCCTCTGCTGTCGCTCGTGTCATCTGGTTGATAGGCTGCTCGTAGGAACAAAGGAGAATCGCCAAGCTCACCCGACAAATCTGGACTCACCAACAGGGAGAGCTCGACCTGCCCTGCATCATCGCTGGTCAGCTCTATCTCCTCTGGAAAGATGGCTTGCAGTGCTTCCACTTCGTCCAGCTGCTCCGCATGGCAATCTGTTTGTGACATACAATACTGTGGCTGGACTGGGCCAGACCCTTATATAAGTAGGTGTGCTCGGCTAAATATGCCAAGGCGCCACTCCCTTGCTTGATCTGCTCACCTGCTGCGCCTAGCCTGAAGACTATCACCTGACTTAGGATCACATGAAAGGAAAACCTGCACCGCACTGGCTCGAATACTTGGCAGCTGAAACGGTCAAACTGGGCAAAGGATACGGCCACCGGTATCAACGACTTGTTTTGCGGTGCCTGTGGGGAGCATGCTCTTGAGTTTGGACCTTGCCGTGACCTGTGCATCGTCTGCAACATGTAGTCATCACTCACCCACACAATGCTTTAGCTCTGCATGCATCTCTAGGCTTAGGACTGGGATGCTGCATTGGACTTGCGTTCCGGAGTGCTCCACCAACCTCCGAATCTAGTACAGGCTTCGAGTGCGGTTTGCAATACGCTGCTGAGGCAACAACGTCCCGAGACCTGAACAAATTCAAGTTTAATTTTTAGATACCGAGAAAGCAGCATGCCCCAACGGCTGAGCCCCACGGCAGCAGAGCATCTTTGCCGGCTTGATTCAAAGACGCTGCGCCTGACTCTGAGACTTCCCTCAATAAGAAGTGCACCTAGTCCATTCGAATTTGAAAGACCATTCATGCACCCAGGGGTTGCTCTGTGAGAGCCAGGCTTCTTCCCAGCTCCAGCATAGCATATCTCCTGGATCGAAACTTCTGAATTGGTTGTCGTTTACAAGCCATGGCCGGGCCTCATGCACAGGCAGTCTAGATTCCCGAAACCGCCGCCCACAGCAGCTGCATGTCCTAATCAAATCACTCAAGAATTTCGGATACTGTTGCACTCGTCTGCGAGCTAGGGCGGCTGCCGCAGAGCGACCTGGCAGATGCAGGCTGGCACTGGCAATTAAGTCCAACAGGAGCAAAGCTTTGTTGAAGTCCCGTGCGACATTTTGCGATCCGCTGTCAGTTGCGTCACTCCCCGGCAACACGCACCCATTTTATGGGTTGGCGACTATACGTTGTGGTGGCAAGCATCTGGCTTTTCGGCTTGTGCCACCGCTGCTGACACAATGGCAGCAGCCCAGGACTCCTGATTCAAAGGATACAATAGAACTTGGCATGACCAATGACAATTCCACCTCCGGAGAAATCAGAAGCCTGCCATTAAGGCCAACGCATTAGCGAGGCGAGTTCAACAGTATCTCGACTTGGGACAGCAGGGACCATGCTGTAGCCAATGGCCAATGACGATCCGAAAAAGTATTGTGATTAGATTGGTAGCTGCGGTTGCCAACGTAAAGCGCTCGCTGTCGCAGTGTCTATCGCTCTCTTCTCTTCTTTCTCGGGCTAGAGGGGGTTGCACCCGACCTCCTCCTACCCGCAGGTTTGCACCACCTGTGGCGGGGCGGAGTTGGCAGCTCAGAAGTGCACGACTACTGCAATCATCCCTCAACCCCAGCAACTCCCAGCAAAGATAACAGCATCCCTTCCAAATGGCGGGAAATCGCTTGCGAATGACACTCGACATCCGCAAGTGATTTTCTGACAGCCCGATGCTGGCTAGGGCAATGTTTACAGCCGTAGATGTGGCACAGTCGAGTTGTTGATGCATAATGATGCATACATAGCTCTTGCTTGCAAGGCGAGAGCCGGGTCTCGTCTTTTGCTTGCCACAGGCCAGACAGAGTCTTGCCCTCCCGCTCTTTGTTTCGGGGACCTGTCTGGTCCGCCTCCACTGGGCACGTTTCTTTCTGTTGTCAGGGCTGGGGCAAGGGCAGCTTGCTTGCTTGGGGTTTGGAACCCTTCTCTTCCAGGCTTAAGGGGCTTGGGGACCCTCTTCTTTGACACAGCCAGAGAGGCCGTGCATGCCGGCCCCCTCGCGCGAGTTCGCGCACTGGGGAATTAGTGGGGACCCTCCCTCTCTCTCTCGCTCGCTCGCTCGCTGCAGGGGTCAAGTCCCGAAGGACCCGGGCCTAGGCCCCCCCTTTCTTCCCGCGATTGTGGAAGAGGGGCATTGGGGTCTTTTTACATGGAGAGTTTCCCCCACGGACTGTTTGGGTTGTGGAAGTTGCCTGACGGAGAAACCCCCCTAACCCTGAACTTTAGCCCGCCTCTCTCTCTCTCTCTCTCTCTCCGTTTCACTCTCTTCCGGGCGTGGGGGACGGTCAAGCCTCGGGTGTTGGGGAATGAGGTACGAGCATAGTTCGTTGTAAGGGCTCAAGCCATACAGTATACGATAACAAACGTGTGCTGTTGATGACAGTGGGGACCCTCCCCCTCTCTGCGTTGATGTGCTTGTGCTAGGGCCGCTAGGGACCAGGAGTTAAGTAGGGGCATCTCGTGCGAACCCTGCTGCCCCAGAACTCTTGCTACAGGGAAGCCAGAAGGTCAAGCTTCTCGATGCTAAATCGACATTAAAGGAATTTGGACACCCTTGAAGACAGCTTCTAGCTGGGGCAGAGTATCCATGAGTTTGTACAACGCTTCTTCATGCTCCACCAGTACCGGTGCCAGGTCATCTGCAAAAGTCGCGAGGGCGTTCGCATTTTTGGAAATGGCGATCATGTCTTTGTCTAGCTTGTTTTCAATGTCCATCTGATTCCGGGGACCTTGAACTGCAACATCCACAGCCTTGCTCTCCTCCTTGCTCTCCAGCTTGGCGTCGCACTTTGGTTCTTTTGAAATCAACTCATCCGCCTCGATGTCATCGAGGTCATCCAAGGACTGACTTTGGTACCGCGATAAGCTTCGCACCTTCTCGCCACGTTCACACCTCCTTCAAGGCAGTTTAGGGGGCATGCTGCATCTTGCAATCTACTCCCTACGCTTCTCCAGCGCGACAAGACGAAAATAGTGGTGCGCTGACGGACCACCCAACCGGCTCAACTCGCACTCGGCGAAGAACAGAAACTTGGAAGGTGTTATGAGCTGACGACCACCCTCACGATTTCCGGATGCGACAACATGCGACAACGCACGGGAGTGAGTCGCACGCCAAGACAAGCACAGCACTGTGGCTCTGTGGCGAGAGCACGACATCGAACTTCGCCCAACCAGCCCGAGTGCTCCAGCAATCGATTATCAGGCCAAACATGAGCACATGAGTGGCGGGAGCACGGCTCCCTCCCGTAAGTAGGTTCATCAAGTTCCGAAGAGCCAAAGTATTGGACTGTACAATGAGCTTCGACCCGGCAGGCGCGGGACGTGATTTTGGTCAAAAAACGTGCACTGCACCACCAAAGCGGAGGCTGCGAAACCACTGGAACAATAATCTAATCCCCTTGCGCTGACCGTGTGACCTCACCGTTACATGCTACCAAAGTTGAAGCTGCAATGTGAGGACGTTCACATCCCTGAAGTAGCTGCTCTTTCATGCTACGGCATAGAACCGCAACACGAGCGAGCAGATAAGAATAGAGGCTTTGATCCGGCTCGGAGCAACTTCTGATCGACAGACACTGAAAAGGCAACAAGAAGCGGCAAGGAAGATGAGACCAAAGGCAAAGGACCAAGGATGCTGCTAACTTGGAATTTGGTATCATCTTGGTATCTTTCGTTTCTCGTAAAATTAACTATAAGGCACCTTCAGGAATCCTACCTGCTTCCTCACACAAACAGGACTGAAACATGCCATTCAAGTCGCTGAGGCTTAAGTAAGTGACCTGCACTTATCACTGATACCTTGCATCTGCTAAGTGCATGATGCCCCGTTGGAAACCACTGTCATGAGCTTGTCGATGCAGTGCGTGGCATTGGCACGAGTCGAAGGTATATGATCAGAGCGCTCATGCAGGAGCAGCAACAGGCTCTGGTTCATCTCGCGCTGAAAGTGGTGCAAAGGCAAATCGTTTTCATCTGTGCCAAAGGGCATCTCTAACTCAGATGCCACCAGGTTGAGCGCGATCATGCCGAAGATGGGAACGAAGGACACGGGCAACGCCCAGTACAGCGAAGTTGTAATGGAGACAATGATAAACGGCGTGTACACGGTGTGGACTGCAAGGAGACAAGTGATCATCTGAGCCCAGGGAAAAGGGAAACTGGTGTCCTTGATCTTGACGGCATTCAACAGATTAACAAGACCTCTGGAGAGCGTTTGATAGACGCGAGACAGGATTGGCGGCGGTATGTTGAGCACGCCCGTGTGAATGTGGTGCGTGATCAGCACCTGGATCATGTGCTGCAGGGACAGGACTCGGTTCCATCCATATTTGTCCTGGCAAGTGGCCGTAAAGCGCAGAGTCTCATCGTCCAGCGAGCGCTTGTCTATGGTAGCAAATCGGTCACGGCAGCCAGCGATCTCATCCAAGGCAGACTCGTGCATGTGGCTGACAAGCCGGACCAATGTTTGACGAAATTGAAGCACTTCGGCAGGTTTCGCTTCGAGCGCCGACTGCGAGAAGGAAACTAAGCAACTGACAGAGTCAAAATACTCGCCTCGCATCTGGTGAAGCAGACTTGTGCCTGGCAGGGAAGCATAGCACGAGCTGCGGAACCAAATTCTGGATTTGGAGCACTCCGGCCTTCCCAAAATCGGTCGAGGGCCTGTTGAGTTCGAAAGCCGATCAGAATACTGAGCGTCACAGTCAAGCCTGACCACACCTGATGGGCAGGGGCCATGTAAAGAACATGTTTTAAAAGGAGTGTGCAGTTGAGCCCTTCGTCCTGGGATACGGTGACATCGCCGATGCTGATCTTCTCCAGGCTAATGTCGCGGTCCACGAAGTACAGCAGGATCGTGAAGAGGAGAGATGGTAGGGCCAACAGCAGCGCCTTCGGTGCTACAGAACCTTTCAGCTGGAGCAGCGTCCAAAGACCATCCTCATAAGGGATCATCGGCAGCCGGCCAAGCTCACAAGCTGAGTCTTGACCCGAGCTGGCTGCGGACAAATTCGGGGGAGGGTGTCAGTCGGCACAGCTCAGCTCAGCATTACGACAAGCTGAAAATGTAAAACAACCCTTCTTCCTAGCTGTATCAGCTTGCAGCTAGTCTTCGAGTACAACAGGCCGGCAGCGCTTCACCCAACTCGATCCTCGGGTTCGTTTGAGGGTCAGCAGCAACGCCGGGTGAAGAAGGGCCAGTGGGCGACGATGTCCGCAGCGGTGTGCGGTCATCCGCTGCTGCTTGGCCGCTTCCCCTCGGTCTTTGCGTCCTTTGCGAACCCGTCGAGCCAGGTCCCTCCAAGAATGCTCCGGAAGGCCCTTCTGTTGCGAATCCAGAATCCTGACCCGAGGTGTTCAATGCAGAGAAGGGGGTCCAGGCAGTGCTGAGGGTGTCGTCCTGATCCTCGCGGAATCCTCGCCTTCGGGGAGAAGGCGTTTTGGGCGCGAGGCAAGTTGAGACCTCTTGCCCAAGTTTGCCGATGTTTTCAGCATAAGATGTCGGACTGATGGAAACGTGGCTCAAGAATCTCGAGATTTCGTCTTCCTCGTCTTGGGAGAAGCCTTCGCCTTCTTGCCGCAAGTTCGGCGGCAAGCGAGGTGGCTTCGGGCCCGCCGGACACGGGCAGGAGCTGAGAGAGGCCCGGTGGCCGAGGCTCGGTGCCGGGAAAGGCGGCGCTGAGCGCCACGAGGGCCAGGAGCCCTCGCAGCCCTCGGAGCCCTCGCCCCGGCCCTCACCTGGACCTAAACCCATTAGGTACTTCTCCGGAGATGCCGCCCATGCTGGTGGGCTGTTGACAAGCAGCCGCTTCCAGCTCAATGCGCGGTTCCAGCCAGAGTTGGCTTCGTCGCTGGGCGATGCTCGTGGAACAGGCGAGACTTGTCCCACATGTGGCGCCGGTGAGGCCAGCAGAGGGAAGTCATCCCCCAAGTGCGGGCGCATCGCGAAGGGCCTGTTGCATTCCTTTACCTCTACTGTGCTTGAATGCTTAAAGCTCATTGCTTCGGGGTTTGACGTGGCAGCAGCTCTAATGTCGCACACGCATCGAAAACATGTTGTCGAGATTGCTGGCAACCTTGCTATCGATTCGAATCTACTGTACACTGACCCAGCTCTGAGATGAGGCCTGCCACTCGAGCTAGTCCGCGCGAGTCCAAGAGAAACTCTGGGCACAATGCTCTTTTTGCAGTGATGCCATCCAATTATGATGGTGGGGCACCGTCTCGGCGGAGTGAAATCTGTGCAATACGCATGAACCGTGCTCACCTTGAATCGTCGCAAGTTCGGGCTCGCAGCGTTGGCCCACCTGACGGTTCCGTGAAGGAAGGCTTGCCAGGCAATGACACTGTATGCTTGCAGGCCTGCGGCTTCCTGCCGACCCCTGTCAGTGACACACTTCCCCAACATCTACGCGCTTTCGTCGGAACTTTCATGTTCAGTCACACTAAGGAATCTTTTCTTTGCACCATTCTTTGGACCCACTCCAGTGCTTGATGAGCACAGATTCTTGGGCCTATGGTGAAACATGGAAATCGCTACACGAGCGGAGCTTTCGTTTCAAGCCATGGACTAGTGACTACGTGTGACTTGGACTTACGCCTGCTTCTTTATGTCATGAGTAACCTGAGCTCAGAAGCTCACTCTTCGGTCACAGGTCTCCTTCAGCTCTGCCATACAAAGCCGCAAGAACAAGTAATGCAGGCTGCTTTTCTGTTCTGATCTCCTTGGAGTTGAGCTGGAACCCTTGGAAACCTCGTCTGGAGTCTCAATCAAAGAACTCTCAGAACAGTGACTTTGCCTGCAGGATCCTGCAAAGAGATTAAGGCATCCACACCGGTCGCACTTTGCTGGGCCGGCTTTGTTGCAGCTGCTGCAACGATCAGCACAGCCAAGGCACCTGCTCAAATCTTTCGACTCATCGCTGCACTGTCAAGATCACTCCGGTCAACACGCCGGCTTTGCGAAATCGATACTCGGAACTCGAGCTTACTTAATGTTTTTCTGGCCAGGTCACTTCCCGTCACGGGCGACCCATCCAGTGTGGCAAACTTTGCAATCGTCGATCGACACACATTCCGCGCAGAACTCTCCACAGTCTTGGCACAAACCTCCGGCAAGTCTCACTCACCACTTCGACGGACATGTGCAGGAGATTCTTCAGAAAAACCTCTGCCTGATGAAGTGACACCAAATCCTTTCCGACCTCACCGAAGTGGGAGTGGAACTGGATCGATGTAGACCATCTGTCTGAGCCGGCCACAACGACTGCACCGCCAGGGTTCTCCGTCACAACCCAGGCAATTCTCCACCTGAACAACTTGCCAGAAGCAGGTACTTTTGCAGACAGACTCGACCCACACCTGGCAGGCTGTACACCTCAGCTTTCCAAACAGAAGCCCGGCTATTTCAGAACTAGCCTGCAAATTGGTGCTCGAATGAAGCGTAGGATTCCGGCTCCATGGTTATTTTGTCCAAACCAAAGCCGGCAATGCAGTCATCGCAGCCATGCAAGCCACTGGACCTCCAGCAATCTGCTGAGCTTGCTTCCCCACGGAAAACCCCAGTTGTAGCTGGGTCTGTGGCGAACAGTTGCGACAGTTCTCAAGGCAGGGATGGCACTGCCAGTGCTGAAGAACCTTCAGCACATCGCCATACAGAGTTGAAACTACAGGACAGGGTCTGCTCGTCCTCCCTGAGCTTCTGGCCGTCTGGCTAAGAGCACATCATGAAACACTGAAAACCAACCGGCCAACTGAGCCAAAGGCATATCCAAGCTCGCATGCGGTGCATTCTGTGTGCGAGAAAGGACATTCGCGGCAGCCATCCACGCCTGGAAGAAGGGCATTCTGTGACAGTGCAGCTCACTAGCGGCCCAGCAAGCTCACGGGCGACTGAGGCTGGGTCACTCCGCACATGTTGCATTTTCAGCAGGACCCCATCCATGTTCACAACTGTCGCATCCACCGTTCTCCAAGCATCTCCTTCCGCAAATGCATTGGGGCCGCAGTGCTCCGCTTCATGTGACAAGCGACAGCGAGACTCAGCCTGCAATGCGGCCCACCCTGGCTAGGTGCTCTAGCTGCTAGGTCAGGTTCTAATTCAGGTGCGGGAAACAGGTCTGCTCAGGCGTGGACACAAGTCTGGCAGCTGCCTCGGTTCAATCGCCGAAGCATAGCCGGCTGCCAGGCCAAACTAAAATCAGAGCTGAGTCGCCGTTGAAGTTAATGCTCAAGCCATGCTTGCACTCCACGCACACATCCAGATCCTCTCCCACACCGGTAACCGGCAGAAGCAAAAAAGCATCTCAAGCACCAAAAACATTTGACAGCATCTCCTCATCCAAGCATCGTGAACAATTTGCATCTTTGCATGGCTGGCACCTTGAGGACAGCGGACAATTATCTTAGATCTTGGACTCGAGTTGTTGCCGCCCTGAGAGCGCCTGCCATGTTTCAGCCCGAAGCCCTCTTTGCAGCCCCCATTGTCGCATCCAATGGATTCCTTCGGAGCATAAGCAGCTGTTCTGGACGTGCCTGCTTTCCTGGAAATGCTCTATGATGCTCAGCTCGGCGGTCCGAATCGGACATGTTGTGCCCGAGGGCATTGAGCTCGCATTTGTCACCTGAACAACTGCACATGTGCCACCAACTTGCAAAAGAACAGCGAACCTGTTGATGCCAAGTTGCAATCTTTGGCACACGGGTAGCATTTGCCCAAGTGAAAATGGGTACCTGTTCAGCACACGTGACTTTCCGACTTGGTTCCTTGAGCATGCACAGGGGCCCCGGCCTTCTATGCACTTGCCCTCATCACAAAGTCGGGGCCCCGCAAGTTCGCAGGAGGTGCAGAACTGTGCGCACGCAGGTATCAGCCTCGCATCTCTCCGTGAAAATGTCTCGAATCTGCTCTGATGCCCCGGGACGAGTCTGCCGGCGGTCTCGGGGAGAGGATGGCTTTGGCAGTTGCTGGGTCGCTTTGCTTGGGCTATGAAGCCCCGCTTTTCGTGAAGCTGTGCATGTGAACTCTCTCTACGTTGATTCCGACTGTCTGCAACTTGGCGAGGCAAATCTCTTTGCCCTGTGCTACTGAAAGCTGGGCCCGCAGCAAGCTGGCTTCGGCAGGCTTCGCGGCCAAAGCTTTGCCTCAGTCTCGTTGTGCTTCAGCCGGGAATCCGTGAGAGGAAGTTTTGAGCTTCAGGCTCAAAGGATTCTGCGCTGTGACGTACACCATGTACGTTGATGGTGTGTAGCTTGCCGGCGCATCTTCCTGCATGCGGTGACTGAGTTAGAATTATGCTTGCCTGTTTTAGGCTATGGGCACCACTAGCGCCACATCATGTCACAATCCCTATCCCAACCTTAGAGTACCGTCTTAAGAATATTCCAACACCCCTATCCAGGTGCCTTAGCCTAAACTGGGCAAGGGGTTCCTTGTAGAATTTGGTTCCGGGTTTAGGGTTAAGGGTTAAGCATTCGCATAATCTTCTCGGATTCTCCAAGACTGTTGTAACTACAATGTAATTATAGTATATAACTGCTTATGTAGTATAGTTACATTATAACTATACAGTCTCTGGCTTCGATTGTGGCGGTTTGTTAAAATGTCTTGACTACATCTGAGGCAAGTAGCTAGAACGGCAAGTGTTACAACAACAATGTTATTTGCTGTTTATTTCTCTGACCTTGTCTGGTTTGGGAACATCCTTCTCAAAATCTGGATCTGTTAGCTTCTGCAAGAAATACTGATGCGTTTGTGACTTCTCGTGTTGATGTTGTTTGCATTTCTTTATTTCAAAAACGCAAACAGGACATGTAACAACCTCATCCTTGATTCTATTGAAGCGGTTCTGCCTCCATTCCTTGACTTTTTCGGGGCGACTGGCTTTGTATTCTTTGTTCTGTTGATTGAGTCTTTCTTTGTGTCTTTGCTGTCGTCTTTGTGCTTTTTCTCTACATACATTGCATGTCTTATAGTTGTCTTCAAATTTCTCTATCTTCTGCATTAATTGGCAACCACTACAATATTTTCTGCCTTCCACTACTCAATATATACAGGTGTCATTCTTTAAGTGTATCCTATGCCCATTATCTAAACATTCAGAGCAAGTGGCAATGCATTTAACATAATATTAAGAATGCTTACCAGTGTAATAGCAACGCTTGAAACAATCAATGTCTTTGACTTGTTTACAACGATAACACTTCCTAGTAACAACATTAACTGTTTGAGTATATGCTTCAAAATCAACTGATATCTTATCTACTCTTACTGGCATTAATATTATTATAGACATTTTTTCATAGTGAGATATTATGGAAATTTGCACCGGTTCCTTAAGATTTAATGAAACAAAGTACGAATTGATGTCATTCCCAAACTCTTATGGTTTGCCTATGAACCTGTAGAACCTGCTAGGCACGCGGGGGCATTGGTTCACTTCATTCTTCTGTTTTCACTGGGGGCTTTTTATGCCAAGATGGCCTGTCATTATTAACTAGATTTTAATCCATAATATGTAAATTATTCTCCAAAATAGTTACATCTCTATCTATACTTTCAACACCCTCCTCTACGTTTTCTAATCTCTCTTCTAGTGTAGGCTTTCGTGATCCCCACCCAGTGGTAGCTGCGTCAACACCTTCATTATCTTGTGAGTTTGTTTTAAATATGCCGTTTTCCTCGGATGTGATTCCTCTACCCGGCCTCCAACTGCTTCTATCTTCAATGATTGGTTTACCTTCGTTGTTTATCTTAGTTTCTGTGTGAAAAGTTTTTCTTCTGCATTTGCAAGGCAAACAGTTTAACCCATCCGTGTTTAAGTGGAAGCCACCTTCGTTTGATTCTTTCTGACTGTCACTCATTAACCTTTCTTAGGTGTTTAAATAGTCCAGAACTGCCTTAAGCAATTCTAAAGAAGCGGTGCAACACCTTTTAAGCTTGGTGTCTTGTATTACAATCTTTTCAATTTCCTCAATATCATCTATCGTGTCTGCATACCAGACATTTTTCTCTTATTAGTTAATGAGTGAAGAAATACCTAAAGTAGAACCGATGGACATACCTGAATATAAATATGAAACAGCAAGTTTGATATGATGCCGAAGCTACCAGCGCGGATGCTATGCGTGGCTTCTTCAACAGGTGGTAAAACAGTATTGATACAAAAATTAATATTGAAAATCTACAGAGGGTCATTTGAGAGAATATACATCTTCTCGCCCAGTGTTCACGTTGATGACACTTGGTCGGCGGTAAAGAAATACATATGGGATGCAATGAAGGTAGATGCCGAAAAAAACAGCTCTATTATGAGGAGTACGATCCGGTGGCGCTGAAGAAGATCATAGACACCCAACATAAAGTAATTGATTTTCTGAAGAAGAAAAATTTAACAAAAGGATTTATTTAGTGTTTTGATAGCGGTGGATGACCATGCGGACGACCCAAAATTTGCAAGATACTCAAGCTTGTTACACGGGTTATTCACTAGGGGTCGCCATAATGCCATCTCGTGCAGTTTATCCACGCAGAAGTATAATGTATTGGCCCCGATCATTAAGTTAAATGCCAGCGCTTTTTTCATCTTCAGACTCAAGAATATGAACGAAGTCAGTGCATTTTTGGAAGAGAACTCCGCATTGGTGGATAGAAGCACCGTTTACGGAATATATCAGAAAGCCGTGAATGTTGCGCCTTACTCCTTCCTTCTACATAAACACCATTGCTAAAGATTTAGAAATATGTTCTTCATGAACTTTGGACAACGCTTTGAGATATGTGATTAATGATATCATCTGTTGATAATATTATTCACTGAATCAATGAGTAACTACATAATGTCATAGGTGGAAGTGTATCATATATTTTGTCGCTTTCTGTTTCTTCTAACTTTTCAACTCTTTCAAAAACATCTTCCAATTATAAAATAGTAACATATCTGTTCTTGTTTCTTCATGAACATCTAATTTTCGATTTGTTTCATATTTTCAGTAGCAGAAGATTGAGAAGATGTAGAACCAATGAAATGGAGTTTAGATAAATGCTTTTGTTAATTGCTATCACTTCTGTTCTTCTTCAGCTCAATTACTTCTTTCTTCAATTTATCTACTTTATTCATTGCCGCCTGCAAAGCACCCCATATACTTGGCACACATGTTGTGTAGTCAAATTTCAAGCTGCCATCTTTTCCTTCTTTTACTACATTCTGCCATTCATCTGGCATCTTTCTTTCCATAAAATTTTTTAGCAATAAATCCAATTCACGATTTACCTTGTTGTCTATCATCATTAAAATGGCCTGTTTTCGGTTCAATATACGTTACTAATTCTACTGCCTTTTTTTGCTATTCACGTCGTTTATATCTTTCTTTAATCTTTCATCCGATGAAGGAATAATTGATCCTGTATATGAAAGGTCACCATAAAAATCAACACCAGTTGTTGAATGTTGATAAGTTGTTGTTTTTTAATCTTATCCATCCGTTGTCACCTGGGTTATTTATTAATACTCGTTGCTGTCCTGTGATATCATCGTGAGTGATTTCCAAATTATCCAATAAAGTAACTTTCGCTTCGCTTAATGATAACTCCGGTGTGCTCCCTATCGCTCCTATGATGAAAATAATTGCTCTGTCCGTGTCTCCATTTCTTATATCTAGATCATAATCACTACCCCGTAAAGTTTCCTCTATCGCTGATGAATGTTGGCAATGAACACCACCCCATACATCTAAATCTGCTTCTGCTGTTATTTTCCTGTACTGTTAAAAGTCTGGTTACTCGTAACTGCTCTATTCATTGTAATTCCGCTAGTGTCGGTTAATTGTAAGGCAATAGAAGATATTGTGGGATCATCTGCTCTATTACTTTGTAAGTAATGAAAACTAAATATAACATTTAATGAATTATTGGCACCCGCTCTTTGAAATATTCTACCTGAGCTGTTAATGTGAATATTTCCATTACAGGTTTATTTATTTTGAAATGATGATGTGCCACCAAAATTACTATTACCACCAGCTACATTTAACTTATTTGATCCTCGAAATTACTCCAATACCTAAGCTTACACAATAAACCATTACCATTTGCTGTGTTAGAAACATCAGAAGTGTCGTTTTCATAATTTATAGTGTCTTTAAAGTAAGTTGGTTTAAATACTGTTGTTCCTCCTGTTGCATAATTACATTCAATGAATGCACTCGTCCTGCTATGCTTGTGTTACCATCAGTAACTTCAGTATTACCACCAACACTAATGTTATTAGTTAGACTAATTCCGTCTGCTGGTAAATTAGATAACGATGTATCGTTAGTAATATTTACATTTCCTGGAGGGTTTACATCCAAATCTACGACACTGTCATCATTTGCACCATTAGTCATAATTTTATTTCCTTGTAAAGTTACACAATTTGTAGCGTTCTCCGCCAAGCTGATGACTAAATAGTCATCGCGTAGTCGGTGGTGTAGTTGTTGTTTCATTATTCAACGTTACACCCGTCTGAATAATAGTTGGTTGCGCTACAATCAATAACTGGGTTTTTGTCAAGCGGTCAGCAAAATCACTTAACGGAACTCTTCATGCTAGTAGACTATCAATTTCTGTATCGGTATAACCACCGCCACCACCAGCACCTGCTATTAATGTATCTACCTCGCCTTTATTATAAAAGTTGGTAGCTAATAATGTATTATTTTGATAATTAGAAGATGGATTTGTGTCCATCTGCGTTGATGTATAATAGTTAGGAAATGTTGAATCAACCTCTAGTTTATTAAAAAAAATCGCGGCTAGTGCCGTGTTTGTTTGATAACAGTTGGTTATATAAGTCATCATTTATAGCATTAATATTATTGAAATTTTGCACTTTGTGTTTAAAACTGCTATGGCGTCGGTGTTTGCTGTTTACACGAGCACAACTAGAGGGGGAGAATCGCAACAAGCCAATCAACAAGCAACAACCGTCAACAACCCAAGCGCACCATTTCATTCACACGCAGCGGGGGAGGACTGTCTGTGGTGAAACTTATCGTCCACGCTTTGCGAGGGATCGACCTAGTGCCCTGCTTACTACTTGCGCGGTCACTCTTCACGGCAAGCCGTGCCTCAGCGCTGCACTTGCACACGCTCCGCCCCTCAGGGCTGCAAGCTGTGAAGTGGGAAGCGAATGTGTCGTCAGAGTCTTATGCGGCGTTATGATTTCGGCACTAGCTGGAAAACCGGCTTGGTTGCCATGTATCACTGGCTGCCACCTGATGCTCTCC